TATACTGATTTTTGAAAAATCCAGAATTTCGGTAAAATCAAAGTGGGGTGTTACAGATAGTAACCAGCTAAACCGAGAAAACTGCGAACCTCGGACGGACTCTTCGGTGTCGACCAGTTCTCAACAGCTGAGACCTTAGAAGGATCCACCTCGATACCTGCCTGAGTAATCACATGACCCAGAAAAGCTACTCGCTGGAGCCAGAACTCGCATTTGGAGAATTTTGCAAACAACTTTTCTCGTCTGAGGTTTCGAGAACCACCCTCAGATGCTCCTCGAGTAGATAAGAATATCGTCGATAAAGACAATGACAAAATGATCGAGGTAGGGATGGAAAATACGGTTCATCAGGTCCATGAAAACTGTCGGAGCATTACTGAGGCCGAATGGCATGACGACAAACTCGTAATGGCCGTAACGAGTCTTGAAAGCGGTCTTAGCAATTTCTGACTCCTTAATCTTCAACTACTGGTAGCCTGATCGCAAGTCAATCTTTCAAAACACACAGGCTCCCCTCAACTGATCAAATAAGTCGTCGATCCTGGGAAGCGGATACTTGTTCTTAATCGTCAACCAGTTAAGATCCCGGTAGTCGATACACATGCGCATGGAACCGTCCTTCTTCTTGATAAAGAGAACGGGTGCTCCCCAAGGTGACACGCTCGGTCGGATGAAACTGAGCCGTAATAGCTCCTGGATCTGCACCTTAAGCTCCTGCAACTCCTTCGGCGCCATATGGTATGGGGCTTTGGAGACTGGGCTGGCTCCTGGAATGAGATCGATAGAGAATTCCACCTGCCGGTTAGGTGGTCCTCCTAGAAGCTCATCTGGGAACACGTCCACAAACTCACGACAACTGGAACATCGTGAGGTGATCGTGCTTTCTGAGAATCATCGACAAGGCTCACCAGATAACCCTGGCAGTTGCCTCGTCGCAGCAACTTGGTAGCTTTCGCCATTGAAACGACATGAGGTAGTGAGCGATTTCTGGTGCCAAAGAAGGTAATCGAATCGTCTCCCGGAAGATAGAGAGTAATCTCCCGGTCATGACATCGGATATCTGCATGATAAAAGGATAGCCAATCCATTCCGAGAATAAGGTCAAAGTCCTTCATCTCGAGAATATACGCGTCGGTAGACAATACTCGGCCATCGATGGAGAGGCTAAGATCTGAAGCTTTAGCTGAGGTCACTATCTTTCGTCCCGAGGCTAAACTCACCTCGAGAGGATCGATAGCGGTGGTAGCGTGAACTCCGATGGCATCAAGACATCGTCGTGAAATGAAAGAATGCGTTGCTCTAGTATCGAACAAAGCGGAAACAGGAATATCATTAAGCACAACCATCCCTGACATAGTACCTGGCTGCTGCGCTGCCTCAACCTGATCAACCGCGTAGACTCGGGCCTGCTGTCTGCCCCTCTGCTGCTGCTGCTGAGGCGGCCTCTGAACCTGCTGACGGGGCTGCTGCTGCTGCTGTGGCTGCTGAGGCTGCTGGAGCTGCTGTGTAACACCCCACTTGATTTTAAAGAAATTTCGGATTTTTCAAAAACCAGTATAAAATTTCCAAACTCATTTTCGAAAATTTTAGTTGGTGTTAACTATCACAATTTAACTAGTCCAAGTCGTGTCTGGACTCACG